CTATAGTGAAAACCTCTCCAAAAAACAAAAATAAAAACAAACTGGCTTACAGAAAGCCATCCACGTACAGGACAGCCCACTCTCCATGCCGGAAGTCGCTGACCCATCACAGCGCCTGACCTCACTCAGTAGTCTCAGCTAAGCACAGCTGGAGGCAACTGCAGAAACTCGCCATCAGTTCAGAGCATGCCCATGAAGGAGACCCCAGGCCCTCTGAACAAATACCAACCTAGGGCCTCGCTCCTCACCATAAGGGAAGCTCAAATCCCATTTAGGAACACCCTTCACAAGTCAGGTGCCTTTTCTTTTCTTTTTTCTTTCTTTTTATTTTTCTTTTGAGAGGTTTTTGCTATAGGGCGTGTGCGCTCACCAGAAAGACAAAGAGAGACAGAGTCAGAAAATGAGAAATCACCCCCCAGGGGGGGTGGCCATGCTGCATGCATGCATGAGTGCCCAGCATGAGTTTAAGCCACCGGGTCTGGGATTCGAACTGTGGTCGACTACATGGGAGTCCAGCGTCACAGGCATTACACCAACTGCCGCTCCCGTCTTCATCTTCTTCTCTTTTTTTTGAGAGATTTTTGCTACAGGGCGTATGTATTTGCTGGGCAGAAGGAGAGACGGAAAGCAAGAAGTCACCCCCTAAGAGGGATGGCCACTCAGCAATCCCTTCTCCTCCATTTTCCTCTTGGGCTTTTGAATATGTACACATACCTGGCATGAGTTTTAAGCTGCTGGGTCTGGGATTCGAACCACAGTCAACTACCTGGGAGTCCCACGACAAAATCATTATGCCATCTGTTGATCCCTATTATTATTAAAGAATTATTTTATTTAGCTTTATTTATTTATTTATTTCAATTTGACCAGAGAGGGACAGAGTGAGAGTGAGAGTGAGAGTGAGAAAGCAAGCCGCCAGGTCTGGAACTTGAACTGCATTTGCTATGTGGGAGTCCAGCATCCTAACTACCACGCCACCTGCCAGCCCCTGATCCCAATTATTATTATTTTTAAGTTTGGTATAGGGAACATGTGCTCGCCAGAGAGACAAAGCAGGAGAGAGAGGGCAAGTGAAAAAGCAAGCCACCAGTTCCAGGACTTGAACTGTGGTTTGCCATGTGGGAGTTCAGCGTGTTAACATGCTGGTCTCCCCAGTGTCCTAATGTACTAACCTGCATCAGGAGGAGCACCACTGCCCTTCCCTTCTCGCCTTGTGTCCAACCCCACCATGGAGGCCCTGACAGCACCCCATCACCCCAACTGGGACCTGGAAGTGGCCCAATTGGCAGGACGTCCCATCCTGTCCACTCCTGGGGCTGGCAGGGGAAGGCCGGCAACACCCATCGCACTCTGCTGCTGCCGGGACCCCGA